GTCCAGAACCAATACCATGGCCATTACAGGTTGGGGCACAATGGTACATGTATTAGGGCCGATTTCACCAACACAGTTAATCACGATTAACGTTAATCGGAGTTTTAATCGGCCGAATTTGTCTGGTTAAATATCTGTTATCAGCCGATTAAGCGTTAACCGTGATTAACTGTGTTGGTGAAATCGGCCCTTAATCAAGCAAATAGTTTTTTTGTTGTATATTTTGTATCTCTTTATTGCAAATTATAATACAGCACATATTTTTCGGGTTTTTTCTAGAATATTATATCGCATATTTAGTTATAAATAGTGATATAATAAGTCTCAATAATTATATAGGTGTAGATTGTAGCAGTGCAGCTGGTAGGGAATTTAATAAAATATAATTTTTTTTTTTTTTTTTATTGGTTATTGAAAAATCGTTTTATTTGATACCAGGCTCATTAAGGACAAGCAAAGATAATATGCAGGCTGTGTTCCAGTCTGACATATACTATAGAACAGTAACCATAATATACGTAAATATAATCCCTTGATATAATATGTTTGTTAGAATACCAACAACTTTCGGTTGCGTCGCTAATAGAGAGCCAATTACCTACATTAACATCGGGGTGATCAGACTTCGTATTACAATTTTGCATCATATACGAATATGCACATAAACGTGATGCCAGCTGATAAACGAACTGATAATATCCATAATAATACGTTTTGGTATTTACGAATGTAATAGTGTTAGGTATACTAAAAAGTAAACATATCATTACGGCGGTTATCACGAAAAAGGTATTCCTTGGATTTTTCCAAATCTGCCAATAGTATGGGAAAACAACTAAAATGTTCTAATATATTTTATTTTGATTCTAATTGCTACACAACGGTCGTAATGACGCTTGGATAAATCTATTTATTCTTCCAAGCAACCTGCAAATAATTTGTATTCGTAAATTTGTACATCCTACCTTGACTGGCGCATGTAACCTGCAATCCTCGGAAAACCATCATCGTGATGTCGTGTCCATAATTGGGGGAGGGGACCTAGGACATACAATTTTAAAATGCTATATCGCAATGGTCTCCTTGCCTTTAATATATTCAGCCCCCCCCCCCCCAAGTCAAAAGCTGAAATTTCGCCTATGGCCGTGTCGTATATATTAGGCCCCGAGGAGATCAATACTCGTCTCGCAACTGCACAATAATATTATTATAAGTTATAACAGTAGGTATAATATGACAATACCCTCTCAAGAACAGCGATGAAAAAACGGTTGGTTTATAGATCGACATTCGAGGACAGATTTTTTACCGCTGTCGGAGCGCGTGCAGTTAAGAACGTCCCTGGTTTTCGTCAGTTAATGTTTCGGCTGCAACTTTAATCAGACGCGCGTCCGTTTACGAATTTCGCAGTGAGGTTCTATAACACGGCTGTAGTACTTCATACGACCGCAACCGCAGTAAGCTCGGTAATCGAGGTGACCGCTGCGTCTGTATCATATTGCAGAGCACTGCAAGTTACCGCAATATTTTTGTTTGTCCGTTTTCTCTCAAATGCGTATTTTAAAGTGTTGTGCGGTGTGACGATATATTGGAGAAATGAACCACCCATTATATATTATCTCCAGCCCAACGAAAACGTCTGTTTCCTAAAGTTTGTACTCCCGGACAGCTTATAAAAGTAGAATGCACCATAGAACATGCGGTCTTGGGTGATATTTTTTCGAAGAATAGATTATAGGTAAGTAAAATATATAGTTGATAGTACCTAGATTATTATATAGATAGGTTTCAGGTTTGGAAAACCCAAGTAAAACCACTGTAAAGTATCCGTGTGACTTTACAAATATTATTGTGCACTATATTCGCTTCTAATTATTTATATAACATAGACATAAATTAAGGGTGGGTTGCATATAGATCAGTGTGTACATTTGTTACTAGGAATTTTGTACCTTATTCGTCCTGTTAAGTTGTTGAGAGGCTATAAGAAATAAAAAATGTATTGCATAAAGACATTTTATTTATTTGATTAACATACCAGCTATATACTATAAAATTACGAAATAAATCATACCAGTTACCTGTTGACAAAAATATAGATATAAAAATCGTATCTTTCTTATAATCATATTATTATTTTAACCAATTTGTAAAAGTTACTGAACGAAATTTGGACCTGTAGGATGCTTATGCATCCAGAACTAAGTCATAAACATCCTTTATACATACCACGTTACTAGATCTATAGCGTTATTTTATTGTTGTGACCGACAATGGTATTTTATTAGGTATTATATATTTGATAGCGGGCAAATTCGGCGGGGTGAAAGACAAAAGCACAGTGATTTTAGGACGTTTTAACATTTGGACAACCAGCTGGCATATATAGGTTTTCCCCTACACTTTGACAAATTAATAGACTGATCGAGATATCAACATGGCTTTTTATTTTATAAACAAATAATATAATTCAGCGTTTATATTCGAACGCTGCGTAACAATTTTATTTAATAACTATTTGATAACAAGGATAATAGGTACTTATACAAAAATATTTACAATGTGGTGGTTATTTCTATTTTCTTATACTATAATAGTATAATATAATATTATGTAGGTATAATAAAATTTTCAAATATTAGAAAGTTAAATATTTAAATAATATAGAATATTGAGAATTATAACATATTTGTAAGTACAATCATAGGTAGGTTGAAGGTACAATGTAGCAGTGGCTTTTTTAGGGAGCGGAGTACTTAGGGAATGAAGCACCGTTCCGCATATTGAACTTTTTTTTTATTATAAATTCCTTAGAATTAAGTAGAATTAGTGGAGAACTAAACGTGTCTAAGCGTATTAATTGTAAGCTCCTACCAACAAATAGGTTAAATTTGTTTTTACCCCGAAGTTGTGTTGTTCATAAGTAGGTACCTAAGGAGTTTTATTTTCAACATGGCACCCACCATAAAAAAATCCTAGATCCGTTAATGCATAGTAGTAAGAAAGTAAAGTACAAACTAGTATAGGTAGTAATATGTTTCAAATCGATTATAATATAGCTTAACAGTCGAGTTTAGTTGTTTTAAAACAACAAATCTGAAAAATAATAATAGTAAAAAAGATCTATAATATTGTTAAAATAGATTTAAAATAATGAATGTCCTCTAATATTTTTTATCTAGAAAAATTATAAAATAAATTATAAGGTAGGTTTACTTGCTTTTATGTATTTTAATGTAAATTAAAAATTTAACTATGATAACATTTTAGAATTTTCAAAGAGTGCGGTGTTGAATATATTAAAATCATTTAAGAATATCATGTATTATTTTTAATGTTAACTTTGAAACTAGAATAAAATAGACTATTCACGAATGTTAATTAATATACTATATATACCCACAATCGTCTTACATTGGAATATGTGTATGCTGTATACTCAATATAGCATATATAGTATATACTATATACATTTAAAAGTATTCTTCATATTATGCTTTAATATAATCCAATCAGATTAGACAAAAAACCTACAAATATTGGAACTATTTCCTTGAAAGCTAAATGTTGGTACACAATCAGTCTATAACTTATTGATTGATATACTAAAAGTCTCCAGACATACCCCTTGTCTATAGCTCTCTATCCCTTAAAAAGGGGTTGGGTACCTTTATTGACTATTCATATTAATAAGAATATAAGATTCTGTTTAGATGCTGTGGTTGCAATATTTAATATTTATTTAGAACGATATATTTTATTAATAATAATTAAATTCATCAAATATTAATTAATTTAAATATATTGTTATTTATTACTTACCACATACCGACGTACCAACACGAAATTATATTTGTTTGTTATTTGTATTCTCGATATTTCTTATATGTTTGTATTTATATGGTTATGCGTGGTAGGTAATTACAGGGTAATATATGTGTTACTATGGTAATCGTATTACAATCGCACAACATAGCAAATTTTACATTCAGAATAATCCATTTAACTCTGTTATTAGAGTGAATTGATCTATTATCAAATTTAAAGCTATTATTTACATTAAGTCGTCCCACGTAGGATTGTTTTTAACTTTAATTCAAGAAGCAAATTACGAGTATTAAAATGTGCAACATATTCAAAGTTTTAAATTGAAAATGTCTCTTTTGAATTTTATAATAGATCAATTCACTTTAATATTAAAAATAACACAATTAAATGGATTATTCTTAACGTAAAATTTACTGCTAGAGTTTTATATAAACCCCTGCACGTTCAGTGTCCACCACCTCTCTAGTTTAACGACTATACTCTAGTTGATATTAAATATATTTAACTATCCAATTATTTTAACCCTCTTCGGGTTGAAAATGACAGCGAAAATCGTGTAATAAAATAGTAGCACGTCATTATTGGGTGGTGCGTATACTGCGTAGCGCGTTTTATATACTTAAGTATAATTATGGTGTAGGTGTACTAATGGACTAAGCTTATATGTAGTGTAAAAATACGCACGTAAGGTTTTTTATTTCTTTATTTTCCATGTGTTCACAGTAAACACCAACAGTTGTAGTGATAAGTGACAACACTGTCCACCTACTCGTGCCGCCGAACCGACGTCTAGTATGTCCTTAGTCTTTTGGTGTGTGTTGCCGTGTGTGTGTCTGCCGGAGTGTGTCCGGACTGCACACGCTCACGGGCACTCATTTGTCTTTTTTAAATTTGTTATTAAAGTTATTATTATTATTTTTCAAAGCATAATTATTAAAGTGTCGAGTAATTAATTCATATTAATTGAGCCTCGTGTTTTGTACTTTTGTGTCACCTAACTAACTAGGTACTTCAATTCCTGACATCAACGAGCTCCTACAGTTCAGAAGTGCGATTCTATCCAGCAGCCCACAAGAAATATTGTGTATTGACATAATTGTGGAATTAGTCGTTGTGTAGTTCTGGGTTGTAACGCATATTTTGTTTTGCGTAACTTAATTAGTTCAGTCAAGATGGCCGACGGTCAAACGGGTCAGGATGATGTCGGTAACCACGAGGGTTGGTCATCTAGCCGTTTAAGAAGCGGATCGCAGGCTACAGTGCAGCCACCAGTACAGTCTACGGAGCAGCTAAATACGCAGCCAACAACAAGCATGTTACCACAAAGTTCTAACCAACCGTCCGGGAGTGTAACCACCGCCAGTGATAGTGGAATGCAAAATGCATTGTCAGCGCTGATAGAGCAGAACCGATTGTTGTTATCGCGGATATTGCGTAATGAAGACAATAACAACATAAACAACGATAACATACAAGCGCGGTCAACCTCCAACAACGGCTATTACGTCATGCCAGATTTTAATAATTCGATTAATATTTTTTCTGGTCGTGAATCCAATACAGATGCGAGAGCATGGTTGAAATCAGTCGAAGGTGTAGCAAAATTGCATAATTGGCCAGACAGTTTTAAATTAGAAATAGTACGTACAAAATTGGATGGTCCGTCCCAAAATTGGTACATTGGTCGTACATTTTCAAGTTGGGGAAGTTTTGTCGACCAGTTTAATAATACATTTGTGGGAAACGAGTCGTGCACAGTTGATCGTATAAGAATTATGTCAAACCGCGTTCAAGCCAAGGGCGAGTGCGTCATAGAATATTTTCACCACAAAGCGCGCCTCTGCCGTGAAATTTCGTTACCATTTAACGAGACTAAACAACAGATAGTTGAAGGTGTTTATTCTCACGATTTATGTAACTATTTGATAGCGCGCACACATTTAAGTGAAGACGAATTATTGGCTGATATAAATTCTTACAATAATCTGAGAAATGCCAGGACCAGTCGAATTCGATCGACCGAGCCTGTGAAGACAACTCAAAGTCATACCGGCAATCGAAAAGCCAGTTCTGACAATCGCGATAAAGATCGAAATACGGTACAACGTTCCACTATTGATTCAAGAAGTAAGCCAACAAGGGATATGTCGAATGTCACGTGTTATAGCTGTGGAAAAATCGGACATCTGGCGTCTTCGTGTCCAACAAGAACCTGTCATAGCTGTAAATCAACGGGTCATTCAGCGCGGTACTGTCCAAGTCGCCAAGGTGAGCGTCAAGACAACAACGGTGGTGAGCATGTTTCTGTTTTAGAACGGTCCCCCACACCTATTGTACCCCCATATATGTTAGATGTTAGCATTAAGTTCCCCAATGGTGAGTCTATCGATGCACAAGCTTTAGTAGATACGGGTAGCCCGGTTAGTCTCATTAAATCGACAGTTGTCCCATTCGTGTCTGGGTTCATGCCTCCAAAATCGGATTTAGTAGGTATTAATGGTTCTAAATTAAACATTGTAGATCAATTTGATGCGGATATTTTCCATGCCGACCTTGATGCCCCGATTAATATATGTTTTCACGTGGTGCCTAGCAATGCCATGAGGAATGATTGCCTATTGGGTCGTAATTTTTTATCTCACCCTAGAGTAAATTTGAATGTGTCGGATGGTCGTTTTGAAGTAAGCTTTAAAAAAATTGATAATATACCATTTGCTGAAATTTTATCTGTTAATTACACTGATCATAATAGCGATGATGCTGACATTAGTTTGAATATTGAGGATACTCTGTCGGATGATATTAAAACAAAAATTAAAAAAATATATGACGAGTCCTATGTTAATCACGAAAGTGTCATTAGTACGACTGACAATTATCGTCCAGAAATACGCATTATACTAAAAAATGACAAACAGTTTTATTTTCGCCCCCGGCGCTTGTCTTTTTTTGAAAAAGACTGTCTACAAAAAATGTTAGATAATATGTTGAATAAAGGTATTATTCGGCGAAGTAGTTCCGAATACAGTAGCCCCATAGTCCTGGTAAAGAAAAAAAACGGAGAGTTAAGAATGTGTGTTGATTACCGCGAACTAAATAAATACGTAATAAAAGACCGATATCCACTGCCGTTAATAGACGACAATTTAGATTTATTGCGCGGAAAAAAATATTTTACATGCTTAGATCTGAAGGATGGGTTCCACCATGTATATGTCGCTAATGACTCTATTAAATTTACATCTTTTACGACACCGTTAGGACAGTTCGAATTTTTAAAAATGCCTTTTGGGTTAGCCAATGGACCAGCATGTTTTAGTCGTTTTATACAAAATGTTTTTGACGAATTTATTCGCAAAAATGAAGTTGTAGTATACTTCGACGACATTATGTTAGCCACGGAAACCGTTGAAGAGCATCTAGAGCTCCTATCGAGAGTGTTAAAGGTAATGAAAAATAGACAGTTAGAGATCCGCCCCGACAAGAGTAAATTTTTGAAACGTGAGGTACTCTACCTAGGGTACTGTGTAAACCAATACGGTATTAAGCCAAATCCAAAAAACGTTTCGATTATTGAAAACTATCCTGTACCACAAAATAATAAAGAACTACAGAGTTTCATTGGTTTATCATCATATTTTCGACGTTTCATCCCGAACTTTGCAATTATTGCCAAACCACTTTATAATTTACTAAAAAAAAAATATTTCATACGAGTTCGGAGAGGAACAAATGAGGTCGTTCGATTCCATTAAATTGAAACTCGGGGAACAACCATTGTTAGCTATATATAATCCCAATGCAATAACAGAGCTCCACTGTGATGCTAGTAGCCACGGATATGGCTCCATTTTATTACAAAAGCAACCCGATAATCAATTCCACCCGATTTTTTATTATAGTCATAGGACTACTGAGTCCGAATCGCGATACCATAGTTATGAACTAGAAATGTTAGCCATTATAAATTCTATTAAACGGTTCCGCGTATATTTACAAGGTATACAATTTAAAATAATAACAGATTGTAATAGCGTTGCACTGACACTACAAAAAAAAGACATAAACCCTCGAATCGCTAGGTGGGCCATGTTTTTACAAAATTTTTTATACGAGATAGAGCATAGATCCGGGTCGCAGATGCAGCACGTTGACGCGTTAAGTCGCTGTAACCATATTTTAGTAATAGAAGGTTGTACGTTTAATCAATCCCTGGCTATTAAACAACAAACCGACCCCGAAATTAGATCTATTTCCGGAGATCTGAAACAATCAGAACACCCGCTGTTTGAGTTACGTAATGGGTTGGTATATCGAAAAAATAACGATAGGTTACTATTTTACGTACCGTCTAGCATGCGTGACCAAGTAATACGTTCGTGTCATGACGACATGTGCCATGTAGGAACAACTAAAACACTTGAGTTAATCAAACAAATTTACTGGTTTCCGAAAATGAGTGATCACGTTAAGACATACATAAGCAATTGTCTCAAATGTATTATATTTTCGCCTAAAAACGGTAAAGACGAAGGGTTATTAAATTTAATTGACAAGGGAGACAAACCATTTCAGACAATTCATGTTGACCATTATGGTCCGTTAAATCAAACTTTTGGGCGTTTCAGACACATTTTGGTTGTGGTTGACGCGTTTAGTAAATTTTTGAATTTGTATCCAGTCCGCACAGTTGCCGCTAAAGAATCATGTTTACGATTAACACAATACTTTTTACACTATAGTAAACCTATAAAAATAATATCGGACCGTGGATCATGCTTTCGTTCGGATGTGTTTAAAGAGTTTTGCGAACGTTATGAAATTAAACATATTAAAACAGCAGTAGGTACGCCGTCGGCAAACGGACAGGTGGAAAGATACAACAGGGGTTTAACGGTGATGTTATCGAAACTTATGCACGAGCATAGTCAAAATTGGAATGAGTATTTGTATCAAATACAGTTCGCTGTAAATAATACGTTTAACAGATCGATACAGAATACACCTAGTAAATTGTTATTTGGTATTGATCAAATAGGAGAGCCAACAGATTATGTTAGATTATACTTACAAGCGCTTAATGAATCTGAAAATGATCAACGTAATTTTGATAAAATTAGGCAGAATGCTCAGGAAAACATACGTGTAGGACAACTAAATAATAAAGCTTACTATGATTCGACTAAACGACCGGCCACGCAGTATTCTGTTGGCGAATATATCATGATTAAAAATGTTGATACTACACCGAATGTTTGCAAAAAATTATTGCCTAAATTCAAAGGTCCATATAAAATAGATAAAGTCCTCCCTCATGACCGATATATTGTTTCTGATATTGAAGGGCACCAGGTAACCCAAATACCTCTGAATACAGTTGTCGCTGCGAGAGACATTAAACATTGGGTTAAACAGTATTAATTTTATCTGATTGATTTTGTAAGTAATTAAGTATTAAAAAAAAAAAAAAAAAAAATGTATTTTGTATTTTTAAGCATTATCACCTACCAGGTACTTCAGGAAGTGTTCTCTTATTACTATCATTATTTAATTTTTATTGTTCATATTTTATTTTCAATTTTCATTGTATACATAATATTATACTTAATCTATTATATTGTAATTTTTTTTTTTATTTTTGTATTGTATTATACGGATCGAGGACGATCCAAACGTCAGGTTTGGCCGAGCTGTAGTGATAAGTGACAACACTGTCCACCTACTCGTGCCGCCGAACCGACGTCTAGTATGTCCTTAGTCTTTTGGTGTGTGTTGCCGTGTGTGTGTCTGCCGGAGTGTGTCCGGACTGCACACGCTCACGGGCACTCATTTGTCTTTTTTAAATTTGTTATTAAAGTTATTATTATTATTTTTCAAAGCATAATTATTAAAGTGTCGAGTAATTAATTCATATTAATTGAGCCTCGTGTTTTGTACTTTTGTGTCACCTAACTAACTAGGTACTTCAATTCCTGACATCAACGAGCTCCTACACAGTCAATAACATCTATGTAGTAAAGACCGACTATTAAATAATTGTATACAGTTTGTTTAATTCTGTATATTATGTTTAAATTAAAACATAAAATTGGTTAGAAAAAAAAATAGAATTAAAATCACTACATACTGTTTACAGATACACCATTAAATATTTATATTGATAAGTAGGTATAATACGTAACTCTCTCTCTCTCTCTATACATATATATATGCTAAAACTCTTGTTTGATTTAATTCAATAAATAATAAATTAGATTCCGTTTTAAGGTTTCCTTGTAGTGTATAGCATGTTAATTGGGGCTTCTTTTATCTCATGAACACAAATCATTGTTAATAACAAATTAACAATACATTTTAGAGTTTTAAGCTGGGATAAAACATTAACGTAACTTATAAAATTTAGCTTACACAGAAGAAGCTTTATACAGAACTATCATAGCCTTTCCTATAACCTATCGGTAATGCGATTTAATCGTTTTATGACGATTGATATACTATTTCGACCGATGTTTAAAACAATATTAAATTAAGAGTTCATTATTTTTTTTTTTTTATCTCAACTCTAATGAAATTGTTTATTCAGTGTTTGAAATTTAAAACAAAATACGGATTTATAGCTAGTAGAATAACTCCGAGTTGCGTGTAAAACTTTTAACGTTACCTGTATAATACGTAATACCTAATACGCATATATTTTTATAAGTATAATATATGAGAATAATATTATATGTTTAGATGACGGTCCTTTAAAGTTATATGTCGTTATAAATACATGCACAATAGCAGCAATTGGTAATAATTTGATAGGTATTTCAAATTTAAATACCTATCCTGATTTGTCATTTAGCATAACAACGTACCATATACCTAAAAATGTATAAGACGAACAAAATTTAAATTTAATATTATATCGGCTATCTTTTTAAAATTATCTGTAAGCCGAATTAATTAATTTAATTACTATAATTAATACTACAGCTTTTTTTTTAATTTTGAGCTGACGTGCAAGGCAATTGGTGGTTCTGTCAAAAACCATTACTATCTTCCTTCTTCGTGACAATACTTATATAGAGTCCTATATTATTATAATTTGTTATTGTTATTATGTTCAATTAGGTACTTATAATGAATGTCAAATATAAAATTAAAAATTTAAGTAGTAAAATTATTTACATTTCTCGTGTAAAAATTCTTTAAATATCAAAAGCCAATAATCGATGTTGTTGTGGCTTAATTATATTTTTTATTTATTTATTAATAAAAAATATATTTACTTATTTTAAACGTTATATTTTTTCATATATTTTTATGATAATATCTAATACCTAATATAACAGTGAAACTACTTAAACTAGATGTCTAGAGTATAAATTATATAATATACATATATCATCATAGAAGCACAAGATAACAATAGTTGTATTTTCTGCAATACTGCAGCTTTACCCGAAACCAATAGTCATTATATCGTATGCGGAACATCTAATAACACATATATATATATTTATATATATATAACTATTGTACATTAATTATTAACTGTACCTATATGTATCTACTTATAATATATAATATCTAAGATAAAAAATATATAGATATATATTTATATAGTATAATTTACCTATATTATATGTGTACCTATGTATAACATGAGTGTCGTTGTCGTGATGATGGCATTTGGACGACTGAAAGTGTGTGAAATGTTATTCAAATAGGTACCTATGTTATACACACAATAATAATAATATACCTAACCGGTAGTATGCACCTGCCCCGTCAAACCTATAATTATCTATTATTGTGACTGAAAAATCGGGTCCGCTTGTCGCATAAATATATCATGTACTATGTACATCATATAAGTCGATAAGCGTGTGTGTGAATATATGTACAGTTTACGTATGTATAAGCGACTGTGTGTACACACTGACACTCTTAAAAACGATCCTCATGCGTCGGCCATGTTTGTTCGATAACCAATCACGATAGGGTCCTCCGCGGGCTCTCGTCGTAGCGCGCGCGTGGCACGGCGTTTTATATCGTTCCTCTTGACAGCTGACCGCCGCCGCCGCCACAGCATCAGTGCATCACGCTGTATTGCCGTCGACAACGATGGTACAATTATATACGAATCGCCAAACTCAGAAAGGCGACAAGTACATTTTTTTTATAAATGTATTTTATTATTTTCATTACCTAAAAATACCTACCTATACTGTTATCGTAAAACACTTATAGGTATATACCTACCTAATAGGTATAAACGTCCGGAGGTAAGGGCGTTTGGGGATGATTTTAAAATCTGACATAGGATAATAAATTATTATTTGAAAAGTATCATTCTTAATAAATTAGTTTGTATTCATGTTTTCCCCTTTAGTCATAATTATTACACACAAAAAATTGAATTCGTTCAGAATATACGTCGCGTGGTCGTAGGTACTAATAGTAGGTATCTTATGTAAGTACCTATAGTCCATACAGCGGTGAGCGGAAGGGAGATAAATCAAGTGTCATAAATATGAAAAGAAAGATATATTACAAAAGGCAAATTCCAATAAGTTCAATTTAGTATATTATTGGCATATATTGCATAATGCAGGTATACTATGTATTATATTTTGTGAATAACTTGGTTTTTTGTCTTATCCCCTAAAAACTTTATAAAAGTGAACTTGTGAATTGTAATATCGGCGGTACACTGCTATATAGCTGCGTGGCTGGACGAACAAAAATGTATGGGTAGATACTCTAT